TCCAGCTTCCTTTTCTTCTTCCCTCTTCTCCCTTTTCTCTGCTCAGCTCCACCCTCCTTCTGTGTGGGGCAGGGAACCTGGAACTTCCCTTTTTCCTAGGGACAACCCTGTTACAACAGAAATGGCTGTTGAAGACCAGCGAGGAAAAGTGTCTTCCCCAGAGTCACTCATCAGGCCCCCTGTAGATCTGGGATCAGAGCCCAGTGCCTGCCTCCTGCCACCAGACCCTCCACAGAGTCCCCACCCAGAGGGTTCCGCAGGACCTGCTTCCATCCTTGGAATCCCAGCCCAGATGCTTCTCTGGGGCAGTGGCGTGGGCAGGTCATGGTCAGGGGAGCCAGCCGAACCTGGCACAGGACTGGGGCTCCTGGGTGAACCTGTTTTGCCTTTCCCACTTCAGAAGCAGGAGTCAGGGTATGACGCCCCTGCTAGAAGGGACATTCCAGTAATGCAGAGTCTCGTCGAAAACAAAACGTTGTGGGAGTGGCCGGCAGGGCCCTGGCTTCAGGCCCGGGTCAGCCACCGAGTCTGTGAGCCCACAGGTCCCTTCTAGGGCTCCGTGTCCCCCTTGTTAAGGAGGTTCAGCAACATATGCCTGGCCCATCTCAATATTGAGCTCATTACCTTGAGGATGTTTTCTGACATTTGAAGAGCCACCTCGATGCCAGACGGTTGGGGGCCAAGTGCTGGCTCCGTGACATCGCAGCCGGCTAAGTGAGCCTTTCTGGCTTGTAGCTCCCGTCTGCAGAACAGGAGCGCGAAGCGCTTGGATGCAGTCGTGAGTGCTTCTGCCAAGGCGCGCAGGGAGCAGCACTAGACCAGACACTTTGCACACTTCCAACCACTTAAACCCTTGCTGTTTAAAGTGCCAGTTGAGGACCAGCTCACGGGCTGCATGTGGGCACTTGCTGCTCATGTGGAAGCTCAGGCCAAACCCCAGGCCCGCTCCCCTGGAGTCTGCATTTTACGAAGGTGCCCAGCCAACTCATGGACCCTTTGTGGCTTGAGAAGAAACGCCCTTGTAGGTCTCTTGTAACTGCACCTGCAAGGATTTCCTGGGTACCTCTAGACCCCATCTCTAAAACGGGTGAAGTTGGAGGCATTCTTGCTCTGTGGTTTTTAAACTGATTCTGGGAACCCCAAGGTGGGTTGGGGTGCTGTGGACTGGAGGCAAGGTTCATGTGAGAAGTGGCCACCTCTTGGACCGGCAGGGGCTCTCAGCTAGGTCTGGGGGTGGGTACGGGGTTCTGTTCTGAGCAGAATGTCATCTTCCCCAGGGAGCGCTTGAAGCGCAGCCAGAAAAGCACCAAGGTGGAGGGGCCAGAGTCCGTGCCGGCCGAGGGCTCGCTGAGCGCCGAGCAGGGAACCATGACGGAGGTGAAGGTGAAGACGGAGCTGCCGGACGACTACATCCAGGAGGTGATCTGGCAGGGTGAAGCTAAGGAGGAGAAGAAGGCGGTCAGCAAGGACGGGGCTGGGGACGTGCCCGCCGAGATCTGCGTGGTGATCGGTGGAGTGCGCAACCAGCAGACCCTCGGTGAGTACCCACCAGTGAGGCCGGGACCCCCCGGGGCAGGAAGGTGGGCTGCAGACCCCTCTGTGGCTGAGAGCCTCCCGAGCCTGCCCTCTGCCCTCAGGGAGAGGTAGACGTTCTAGCCTGGAGCTCTTTTCTTTATACTGGACAAAATCCTCCCCTATCTTAAGAAAGACTTGGTTTAAGTCGAATGCCTGGAGCTTTCTACAGGCCCAGTGACTCCCTTGTGCCATGGGGCTCTGTTCCCAGAAGGGTCTAGAAAAGCCCGTGAGGCTGAACTGGGGGGGCATCAAGGCAGAGTGCACCGTCCCTCGCCTCTCCAGGGCAGAGCCAGACCCAGAGGAGCTCTGTGAAAATAGGCTCCTTGGAACTCACCTCTCCCCTCAATTTGCAGCTGAGCCTCCTTCAGGGGCCGCCTGCTAGGTTCACAGGCTGGCTGTCTACAAGACCCAACAGATAGTTTACTTAGCCTAAGTAGAGATGAGCCAAACAGACAGGTGGTGGGGACTGCGTCCAGCTGGAGCCTAGGCCTCGTCTCCAGAGGGGGCCGCTTCTCCGCCGCCACTAACGGTAACGAGTGGGGAGACGGGCTCAGCCTCTCTCCATCTCTGGACAAACCACATGCCAGAAACGAGGATTTTGATGTGAATTCTTTTGGCTCTACATGTTGGCAGTGAATTCTGCTTTTGAAATCTGCCAAACCAAACATCTGTGGGTCAGCTGTCATTTCATGGGCCATAAGTTTGCAACCCCTGGTCAGTAAAATAAAGCGCACGTTCTTCCGCCTGGCATCAGAGCCTTGCCCAGCGTGGCTCCAGGCCTCGTTTTCATCCCTCTCCTCTCCTCCCCCCTCCCCTCCACCTCCCCCTCCACCTCCTCTTCTTCTTTGAAGCACTGCCACCCCCTGGCCTTCCATGTCCAGCCCTCTGGACTTTGAGGTGCCCTTCATGTGTGGGGCAGATTCCCCTGGGCCTGTCTCCCCAGATTTAGACTCAAGTCCTACAGCCATTTCTCTCCAAGTCTAGGAACCGGCGTCCTGCGCCTTTCCCCACCATTCCCTGTGTCAGTTGTGGCCTCACCAGCCTACCTGGGTCATGCATTGCGGCATGTCCTAATAGCCACGCCTCTGTTTCTCACTGGCCGCACTGCATTCCACTCTGGGCAAAACAAAGCAGTGACCATGCTGCTGTCCCCTGCTTATATACGTGGGATTTCCTGGTGTGTCGCAGGTCAAGGCCAGAGCAACAAGATCCTCCATAACTTCAGCGTTTTCTTTTTTTTTTTCCTCATCTGATCTTCCAGACCTTCATTCCAACACAGTCTACTCTTCTTAAACATTTCCTGCCCTTTTTGTTCATGTTGTTCCCTGTCCCCTGAAGACCTTTCCTCTTTTCCACATGCCTCAATCCAACCCATCCCTTAAGGCCAAGTCCATTGCCACCTCCTCCTGGATGCCTCCCTTGATTTCTTCTAATCAGAAGTGATCGGTTTCTACCCTGCTCCTCACTTGAGTACTTCCCACCATCTACTTTATATCAGAATGGCTCAGCCTGTGTGTGTGTGTCTGCTGTGAACTTGGGAGCTCCCAGAGATTGGCAGTCCAGGACCTGTCAAATCAATGTCTCTATGCTCCCCATCTCCAGGCACAAGATCAAGGGACATACTGGTTTCTAGGAATCAGGGTTGATGTTGGGTCTCTGTCAGGATGGGGCTAAGTTTTGCCACAGTAATAAAAGCTTGTAACAAGAGGTCTCGGGTGCTAAAAGCCATAAAGATTTTCTTATGTTTAGTCACACTCCCAACACGAGTAGCTTAAGCTGAGTGAAAGAAGGGTCTTCAGAGGCCTGAGTACAGCCCTCCCCAGCCCCATGAGTATTTGCCTCCCAAGGCCCAAGACCACGTTAGCCTCGGTGGGTGTGCTGTGTACCTGAAGAGAGGATGTGCCCCAGCTCGCTCCAGGGGCTGTGTCCTAAGGCTCGGTGACGCACTAGCTAGCTGTGCCCTTCATCGGGAGATGCTCAGTGAAAGGTAGCTGAATCTGAGTCTGGGGGTAAAGCCAGTGTCTGGATTTGGCTGGGAAGGTCAATTGCTAGAAGGCTTTCCGGGGCAGCTGCCTGCCCAGTGAGACCCGGGGCCCTCACGGCCTCATCAGCCACCGATGCCACTGTCCAGCCCGGCTGTTCACAGCAACAGGGTCCTTGGCCTCACTGCCTAAATCCAGCCCTTCCTTCAAGGCCAATTGCACTGCTACCCCCTCCGTGCCCTCTTCTGTTAGACGAGGGAGGCTCCCTGTCCTGGCCACCCCTGGGTGTGGGACTCCAGAGGGGTAGCAGAATGGAATGAGGAGAAGATGCTGGGCTCCCGAGACTTGAGTAGCCCAGGCCCTGCGACATAGTAACTGTTGGACCTTGTGCAAACTATTTGACATCTCTGTGCCTTATTTCTCACCGTTGTGACTTCAGGGTTAGTGAGGATTCAGTAAGATAAGGCAGGTGAAGCGCTCCCGCACTGTGTCTGATAAGGAATTAGCTGATAATGGCAGTAGTCATACTAGTGTTAATGGTATTATGTGTCTCTCTAAGAGGAAGCAACAATAGTAGTTTGTGTTTTTTTTTTTTCCCCCAAAGACTAAGAAATAAATCCGAGTGATTAAAAAAAAAATGGGATGGGAAAGAAAGTTGGCACTAGATGAGATGTCAAAAGATGCAAGTTCTTTTTTTTCTTTAAAGATTTATTTATTTATGCATTCAGAGCTGGGGTACAGGCCAGAGGTGCAGGGGTGGTAAGAGGATTCACCAGAGACAGAGTGGGGAGCAGAGCAGGCCGACTGATGAAGTACACTGCTGAGGGGAGCAGCAGGCGGGTCAGGAGAGGTCTGCTGCACCGTGGTCACCTCTGGGGCAGGGATCGAACTTGCACTGAAGCAGCTGGCTCGCTTGCAGTGCTGTGCTTACCTGCTGCTTTTACCCCACCAGGGAGGGCCCAAAAGATGCAAATTCTAATGGGGCCTCATTTTTCATATCTGAAAACAAGATAGGCCACCTGTCCCATTCCTGGGACTCCCTGGGACGGCCTCCCTGGAACTCAGGGCACGTATTTGGTCAGGACTGACCCACCTGTGTGGGACTGACCCTCGTGGCTGTGGCCTCACCAGCCTACCTGGGTCATGCATTGCAGCCTGTCCTAATAGCCACGCCTCTGTTTCTCACTGGCTGCACTGCATTGCACTGTGTAAGCCAGTGTAAAGACTGAAGCTCGCAGATGCGGGCCCAGGGTGTTCCCTGCAGGCTGTGGCTGCCCCTCTCAGCCCTCGGGGTGACCTTTCTCCTTGAGGGTGCCAAAGGCCAGGCTCAGAGAAACTTAGCTTCGACTCAGCACCAGGAAAGAAAACATTTAAAAAAAATTAAGTCAGTGTCAGAACCAACAAGTTTAAAGTCCTCTAACCCCAAGATGCAAGTAGATTTTTATCCTGTGGGCCAAGTATTGTTGCTGGCTGATAGGGGTTCTGTGTTGATTGCTTACTGGTGTCTGCCACAGTTGTGGGTGGGGTGGTGTGGCTCACATACATTGGACACCCCGACCCCTCATTTTATAGAGGGGCAAGCCAGCCTGTGGTAAGGAAGAGTTTGTTACCAGGGTCACACAGCAAGTCAGTTGCTCGCCCTTCCGTTTCAGGGAGACCCTACACCACAGCACCCCTGATCCCCACACCCCAAAAGGAAGGGAAGCTCTCTCAGGGGCCTGTGAGGGGCCAGAATGCCAGTGAGACCCTGCCTCTTAGATAGCTCTGTCCATGGCGTGCTTCTCTGTCCTGGGGCGGGTCAGAGAGGGGATAATGGAAGAGGCACTTGGCAGGGGAGCCGGGGAGGTGGGAGTGGGCAAAGGGGGTGTGTGGAGCCAGCCCAGGGCCTCCTGAGCCCGAGTGCTCAGCTCCACCAGCCAGACTGAGGCTCCACTGCCCAGCAGAATAGAGCTCCTCTTAGCCCACTCCCTGCTGCCATTTGCCTTTTCTCGGAGTTCCACCCGCCCTGCCCCCCTCCTCCCCTACCCCCTCCCTCGATGTTGCCTATGACAAACTTTATCCAAGGCATTTCCCATGGTGGAGCCTGGGTCACAGATGAGTGCAGGGCTCTTGGCACCTTTTCAGGAGAGTCGGGAGGGGCATCGGTGCCCAGGACCCAGGCTGCCAAGCTCAAGCTTGCAGTGGTGGCCGCTATTGCCCAGCCGCCCTGGACACCTGGGACTTCCTTGAGCCCAGAAGGGGCACTCAAGCTTAGAAAGATCATCGCTGCTGTGGAACTGCTGTGGGGCTGGGAGTGGGGGTGGGGGAGGTGAAGGGGGGTGCTGAGGTCCTTGGTTTCTTTCTTTAGTAAAAAGAGCAGCGCTAACACTTACCCCAACTTAGTCGGCTACAACCAGTAGTGACGGGAAGTGAGTTAGCAGATGGCTGCTCCCGCCTCCAGGCCGCTGGCTGCACTCTCCGCTGGAGCAGTGCAGTGACTCCTTCTCCAGGAGGAGCTGCAAGCAGATCACCGTGCCCTGACCCAGCAGCGTACCTCAGACTCCTGAACACGGGCACCCAGGAAGCACCGTCAGCCAGCCGGCGTGGTGCCACTCTGCCAGCCTCATCCTAAATGGGGAAGACGAGCAAGCTGCGTTTTCAGCCACTGGGACGTCCAGCCCGTGGGGCAGGTTCTGGTTCTGAGCGTTCCTGTGGTCAGATGTCCTGGTGAGTGCCGGGAGGCTCTTGTCAGGGTACATGTGAGGAAGCCCAGGGAGAGCCCTGGTACATGGAGGCCTGGTGGGCCAGGGTTTCCCAGTGGTGGCGCAGGGGCTGATGGATGGAGCGAGTGAGTAGCCGGGAGGGACATGGAGCTACCCTGTTTTTTGCAGGAGTTAACTGTTCATTCACTCAAGTCAGGGGTGAATGAACCCTGTGAGCCCTGTGCTAGAACTCAGGGCTGTTTTTCTGGGGGGAGGAGGCTGGGGGTGGGTGTGGGCAG